AAAAAAATAAAAAATCAACTACCAGTTCAGAGAGAGTGGGAAAATCTGTGACCCAGTTTTGGTATAATAAGAATTGATCTGGTAAAGTCTGATAGAAACGGGGCATGTAACAGAAAGCTGGCTTCAAAGTGATGAATTATCACTTTCAAATTTTGAGATCATAGCAAAGTTTCTTATGTATTATTTAATGGGGAAAAAAATCAATGTAGTTAAGTACATCTTGTGCAACAGCTGAAAGCTAAATACTGATTAGTAAGTCAACTCTAAATGTATGTAGAATTGATGTGATTGATTTGCTAATGCTAAAAACTAAACATGCAACTTGAGGAAAAAAGTGGAGTTAAATACTTTCAGTTCAAATTATTGAAGGAATTATTATCAACTTAGTGAATTATTGGTTTGATATGTGATTATGTTGACCCTGTAGATCTTGTTTCTTGTTAGGAAGTCATGGGGTGTGCTGGAGACTCACTGCTTTGTGTCGCATAATCATGGGTGATGATACCAACAGGAGCAAAATTATTATTTTCCAGTTGAATGCTGTATCAGTCCTGGAGTGAACACATCTACTTCTCTGTGGTGAACAGACTGCCACCTGCATTTCTTTTCATGACCTTCTGCTGTATTTAATCTTCTTAAGATCTCTTAAGTCAGAGTATTTTTTGTTAACCCCTCACTACTAGGTCAGAGTGGTGTTTAGGGAACCTGTGTGCGATTCGTGTGTTCACTAGGGATGATTCTGTGGGAGCAATGTGGGTGTAATAGAGCACAGGAATGTAAATGTAACTTTCCTAAACAATTTCACTTGTCACTAGCTCTTACTGTGAATCTCTTATTTGTGACTCCCTTCTTCTGGGGGCTTTAATCATGGAGCAAGATCAGAGTCCCATTTTCTGTTGTTGTATGGGAACACAGAATCTGTCAGCAGTGCCTGCTCACCTTATGAACTACATGTTACATTGACTTCTGTTTTGTTTCCCATCACAACCTACTCTTTTGCTCCATGTAGGTCTAAATTTACTGGAATGGAAATCTAAGAAGGCAAAAGAGTAAAAATACTGTTTGCTGCTTAAGAAAATCAGACTGATGGTAGCAGTTCTGCAAGGACCTGCTCTGCCAGGGCACGCAGTACATTTTTGTTGTGACATCCTTGGCATATGTATGTACATAGGAAGTGCTGGATACTGGAAACAGGACAGGCCAAATGGTTTGCAGGAGTCACATTGAGGAAGTACAGGAAGGGACCTTTAAGATGACAAACTTTGCCTTTCATAGCATTTAGATTTGTTCGTTTTGTTTCACAAGTCATTTATTAACAGCTTATGTAACATCTGACATTCAGTACAAAAATGAAAACACCCTGCAGATCTTTTCAGAGATGAATGGAGTCCAGTTCAGTTTAATTGCTTTGTGGTGTGTTGGCAAACACAGATGTCTAAAAAGCATATTGAAAGTCAGACCTTAGTAATTATATGTGCGACATTTTCTAGTCAATGGTGACTTGCCATAATAAAACCTAAAGTTGGCACCTTGCTGCTGCTTCCTACACGTAATGAGAAAACCGATTAAAAAGGGAAAATGAGGTGGTTCTTTCCATGTTAGAAAGCAGCCTTGGTCACTGCAATCTATTTATCATGAATACTCTTTGAGAACACACCTTTCTCCAGTGAATAGTTTGCATTTTTGCAGATGTATGTTCCTGTCTTTAAAAATGTCCTGGTGCCTGCTGAATGAATACTACTGATAAATACTTGATTCCCATTAAAAAGAAAAGCTTGGTACAGCATGAGAGGAACTTGAAAAGCAAAAAGTATAAGTATTAGTGGAAACTCTTCTCCTAAAATTCCTTCGTATTCTTTTTCTTCCAGAATAAATTGTTTGTACTAGATTATACCTGTGTTGCAATGCATAATTTTTGACTGGTTTTTTTAATTTTCTTTCCTCAGAGGAAGGCAAAGAAGAAATTTTGAAAGTTACTTTTGAAGAACTGAGACAAGCTGTAGCTTTGTATGCTGCAGCCATGAGGAAGATGGGAGTAAAAGTAGGAGACAGAGTTGTGGGTGAGTAACTTTTTTTTTAAAGGACAAGAGGTGAAATTTTCTTGAAATGTGCAAGTGAGTAGTCAAGGTTATAGAAACATGAATATGAAATACTATTTCACAGAAACATTCTAAAGAAAAGGCTCTTATGCTGCTATATTTACATTCGTATGAAATACGCTTCTAGAGGGAAGGAACCTGGACTAGCCTGCAAGTTCTCTAGCACTTGGAGTGGGAAGGAAAATACCTCATTCATAGCTTCACTAAGGTCTGCTTCATAAGTGCTCTGTGGAAGTGGAGGTGATGGAGACTTTGCATCGAGCTGAGCTTTGACTCACAAGGTCTGGCAGATTCACATGGGGGCAGTCATGGAAATTACGGTCCCAGGTTGGTTGTTCTGGTGCCAGCTGGCAATTACTGACCCTACGGCTGCAGGTAATACGGTGCACTGTGAATTGCAGTTCTTGAGGAATGGACTTCTACTACCTTCTGCCACCAGTACTTTTGGGAGTAGTGACTTCCAGAATGGTGGTAGTGAACAGCTGGTGAGCAGTAACTTTTCAAGTCATACCAATGCAGAGCTTAGTAGTTAGAACCCAGTGATCCTTTCACTAACTCACAAAGATTTCTCGAGTAATGTTTCCTGTCATAAGACTGTCATGTGGATTTTTCTATATAAACATTTTTTTGTCTTGTGAATAGCTTGTACAGTATACAGTCCAGGCATAGGAAGGAGTTGCTGGCTTCAGTCCATTTATTTCTAAATTGCTGGTTTTGATCTTCCAGCCGAGCCGCTTCATCTCTGTACTTCATGTGCTCTGTAACATATGCTTTTTAGTTTTGTCAGTGTGGTGCAAGTCAAAACTGTATTATCCTTGAAGCTCCTTCACTCCTACCTGGTAGTTCTGCTGATGTGCATATCCATCTTGCTACTGGAATCACATGTTCTTTGGGCAATACTTGGCCATTATCCTAAGTATGTGTGAATTCTTATATGATGCAAACCCAAAGCGATGAAACTATTTGGTTTGTTTTCTGCATGTTACAAACTAGAACTTGAACCCATGTCTTCAAAATCAGAAGGGTATGCATTATTATTTTTATTAAACCCACAAATATGACCTGCAAACGTAAAATATACTCAAGAGAGCTCATACTTCATGCATATGGTATGAGTATTCTATGGAACTGGTAACTGAACATTTAATTGTCAGCACTGGTGGCTTGGTTTTTTTACATAGAATTAGAGCTAAATCCTTAATTGGGTATGAACCATCCAGCGAAGGTTTATCTGAATTAAGACTAAGTTAAGATGCTTCAATTTTGTCTCCATTTTCAATCTTAACACCGTCATGTTCATAGCTGACTTGTTAGGAGCAACAGCCTCTGTCTGAAACCAAACTAATGAATAGGAAAACTTACACTCTACAAAATTTGAGTATTTAGAACTTAAGTGTAGTGTTTCTTACTACCTGTCCTCTGATGTGTACATCAAATGGTAAAAGTGGGTTGTGTGTATTTTAAAAAGTTGTCTCAACCACATTGGCAAAACAATATGTAATTATGCATATAACTGGAAACTTGGACATCATGAAACCAATCAAAGTCCTAGTCAGGTTTTTGTTGACCTCTTTTAATGCTTTCTGTAAATGTTGTTTGTCATTGTGAAGTGCACAGAGTGCACTCTTTTTTGACTTTTGCAATGGAATTTCTCCTGATGTGTACAAAACAAATTCAAGTGCTCTGTTTTGTAGACTGCTTGTGGGGATACAATACACTATTCCTTATTGTTTTATAAGTATGTAAAAATTCACAACAGGGCTCGAAACAGTTCTTCCATATGTGTTGCTGGTTATGCTAAACTGAAGGATTAAATCTCACGCATAAGTGGCAAAAAGGGTGCTCTGTACCAGTTTCAGATCCCATAATATGATGAAATGTGTTGTGGGAAAGTCATGGACAATGCAGAAGAGTAATTACTGGATATGTTTTCAGACTTTGTGTGAATGAAAACTGTGTGTGTGAACACACTACGATGGGGGAGGACAGTAGCTGTAAACTTGTGAGTAGCAACAGCTGTAGCTTTGGTGTGTTCCAGTGAGTAGAAACCTGCTGTTCCTTGCTGCTGTCCTAATTCTCAGGTTAAAGTCCATTTCTTAGACTTTACATATTGATGTTTGATGCTAAATGAGAGTTTTTTAATCTCTGGGAAGAAAATACTGCTCACTAGGGTAACAGATGTAATACTAATGTTTAAGTATGACCAGGTGCAGTCACATTTAATGGAAACATTCATTCTGAATTAAGATTAAAGAATTTTGTCTACATGAGATTGTTTTGTGTTCTAAGGTGCGACTTAAAGGCCTGTTCGCAACCTGGTTGTCACTGCTAGAACGCTTCTAATCAAAACCAGTTAGAAATACTGCGTTTGGAAAAAGAAGACAACATATGATGCTGTAATTTTATGCTCATCTTGTGAGCAGTTCTTAGTAAAGTATACTATGCAGGGGAAGTGTGCTCTGTAGCTGGAGAAAACGTGCTACTGAAATACAGCTGTAGTCAGTGGTGCTAATAATTAAGCTAATAATGCTATTATCATTATAATTTTAATAACAGTTCCTTTTAGTTAATGACTGTATTTAGCACAACTTAGCACAACTGGAGGCTGGCTAATTCTTGAATCTTGTTTGTTGTTTTGGCAGCTGGCTCACCTCTTTACTTAAGTTAAAAAGCATAGTTGATACTTCAAAAAAAAAGATTGTATGAATAAAATTGTATGCTTTAGATACTGCTTATTTTTATTTATAAAGGTTTTTTACATGCCTGCAGAAGGTAGCAATTCCAAGTTTCTGGTGAAAATGCATCCTTAATGTCAGGGCTTCCTTCCACAGAAAGGACAGGATTTTAACCGTGCGCTTTGTCCTGTTCTTGGGAGAGAAAACGTGCGCATTGACTCCAATGGGGAAGCCTGGAAGGATTTTTAGTGACTTCAAGTGGAGGCACGAATTGCAGTCTCTGGCTATCTGGTGGTGTTACTGTTATTTAAAAAAACAAACAAACAAAAACAAAAAACCAAAAAAACCCTCAACCAGCCAAAATGAAAACAAATGAAAAAGGAAACAAATACATTGAAAATATAATGAAAAACCCTATTTAGGTCCCCGCTCCCTAAATCTCTGGAGTTAAGCTCCCATCGTTTGAGTAAGCTTGCAGCTCTGTTTTTTCCCTTGGCTTTTTTGTGCATTTCCTGAGCAAAAGTTTCCTGTCTGGCACTTCCACAGCAGAGACCTTTCTGCCCAGCTGCTGTAGGTACCACGTACCTCTGCTGGGCCCCCTGAGCATTTCAATAGCTTAAGCACATCTTCATGAGCAGTTATAGCTTATATGTGGAAGCAGGCTTGCATTGTGCTTGGAGTCCTTACAAAGCCCTTTACTGTTGGTAACATAAAAGATTAATGAATCTAGGCAACCTCTTTGTTTCCTTAAAATCACAGTACGTTTTTGGGCTCAGGTAGAGCTTTTTAGATTATCCAGAGTCTTCACGTGCTTTTTTTCTTCTGGGCAATTTGTAACATTCTACTTTTTTCCACTCAGCCCTCTTACCTGGGCTGGTGAGAGACTCTTTTCCTTGTAATCTTCAGTCAGATGAACCCGTATCAGCTCCCATCAGTTGAGCTGTTGCGCAGTTCCCCCTCCTTCCCTTCCCCTGGTGTCCCCAGTCCTGGACTCCTGACCCTGACAGATTGCTTTGCCTTGGGCAGCAGCCCGTATCTAGGGAGAGCTTCCCTATGAAAGAAATCTGATGGGCTTTTTAACAGCAATCCAGCTATCTAGAGATAAATATATATTTTAAATTGGGTCTCAACTTCTTTCATATGTTTCTCCTCCTGTGCCAGAGGATATTGGCAGTCCTTGGAAGAGCTAAACCATAACATTGCAGTCAGAGGTGGAGGCTGCAGGCTTTTCTCCAAATCTCAAATTGAAACGGAGGAGAGATGTTAAGTGTTGGGTGGGAAAGTTTGAGTCATACACCCACTTGTGGTATCAAAGATGAGGCTCTCCAAAGTTTGCCAAAATCTACTGGGACCTAATTTGTTCCAAAATCTATAGCAGATGGCAGAAGGAAGGGTGATTCTTCATGTAGTTTATAGCAGTAATACAGGGCATGCTTTTGAAAAATCAGCTTTTAAATAGAAGGGAAATATTTTATTAATTTTATTATAGTTGCCTAACACCTAGTCAGCCTGCCAGGTTCTGATGCCCTTTGTTGCCACTTTCTCTTAAAATCTTGAGCTGTTTTCTTCTTGTGAATTTCATCTCCATGCTTTACTGCCTCTAAGACAAGACTACTTTAACTTTTCATTAAACTTAACATATCCCTTAGTTTGTTCAGTACAATTTATGGTTGCATCATGACAGTAATAGTATGTTAAAGTTGGAGGTGGGTGAGTGTGGGTGGACAAGCAGCAATGTCAGCAGTTTTTCAGCTTGATTTCATCCTAGTCTTCCCTTTCCATCACTAAGGAGATAGCACTTAATAGTAAACATAATTGAAGCAGATGTGTGGTGAAACATGTCTCTTCTTCTAAAGATGTCTTGCAATACTGTCAGTGATGCTCAAACAGTTGGAAGAAACAGATACAATACCTAATGCAAGCTACACAAATCCACATGGGAAGTACTCCTGGTCTCCCACTGGCCATCTGTTTGGCAAATAACAATGACTGCAGAAGGAATAAA